AGTGAGGCTGATTTTTTTTTATAACTATAATAGGTTAAAAGGTAGTGTTTTTAAAGCTTTTTATTAGTTTAGTGCAGTCCAGTTTTTAGTCATACTATCAAGAAACTTTAATTCTACATTATACAAAAATAGTTAACTTTTCTTCTTGATGATTAAAGGAAAATTTATTTCTGATTGTGTTTGGGGGAAGATTGAGTTTATCCTCAAAATGTACAACTATTTTCTGAGAGTCTACAATTTTAGTGTATAAAAATTGAAAATGCCATTAGGGAAAGAGCAGTGTAATGGACTATTTCTGGTTTACAGCATATTCCTATTCTCTCATCCAGAAAATTAAATCTGATTACAGCTTGGATTAACGTTTATGGCTGTTGGGGAGAGGAAGATAGTATAATATCTTAAACTCCATGAAATTGAACGAGATTATATCGGTTATAGCTAATTTTGAAGTCTCACTTATAAAGGGCAGATTTTTTATAATTGTTAGCTTTAAATGCATTCGATATTTTGTCTCTAATTGACCGAAATATACTAGAGATAAAAACTGGACAAATTTAGTAGGCATTAAATGCAGTATTTTCTGTCTTGATTCCTAACATGTTAAAAGTGAAAGCAGTGTACATTCCTGGGTTTACGGCCATATTTGCAGTTTCTCTTAAATTTTCCTAAAAAATCTTGAATTAAAGAAGATTGTAACATTTGGTTAGTATGCAGTTGTTATGCCTTTCACAGAAAATGAAGACAGTGTGTTTTTTAATAATCAAGTTAAAGTGTCATGTCTTGACCCTTTAAGTGGAGTCACTGGTGTGACAGAGAAAAATAGGAAAATAATTTGGTGAAGGTGTGTGTGTGTGTGTGTGTGTGTGTGTGTGTGTGTGTGTACACATACTAGTTACTGATGCACAAATGAGCTCTCATACAACCACAGTACTTTTATGAATTATTTGCATTTCTGTTGTAAAAGATCTGTCTACCACGTTTTCTAGGAACTTTGAGCCTAAGGCATAACTCAAGGTTTTGGAGCCTGTGTAAAATAATTTATAGCACCTTTCTAGTAAGTCTTGCCCAAACTCTTATTCTATTAATTAAACATCCTGTGGCAATCTGATATATCTTAAAGATTTAAAAGTATATTACAGTAGAAAACTACAAAACATGGACTATTGAAATTGAAGAATATTAGTTTTTTTTTTTAAAAAAAAAAGCTAGACATTTTTGAGATCAAACTTTTTTTTTTGCTGTGAAGACATAACTATCTAAGCATGCTCATGTTCTGTGCCTGAATGAGATTGTGCTGTTGGGAGTCTGTACTGTGAAACGTCTGTTTTAAATATGGAGAGATGTCTTGTGGCCTCCAGAGAAGGGGTGCACTTGTTCTGTGTGGGGTCAGGCTCTTGCATGGCCATGGTTCTGGGACAAGGATAGTGGCCCGTTACATTGGCATAATGTGAAGCTTTATTAGGCTTATGTGGCTAAGAGAAATACGGACTCTATCATACCATACATTTTGTTGGCAAGGTATTTTAAATATGGTTTTTGTTGTTGAAAGGTATTTCCCTAGGAAATGATTTTTAATTTTATAATAATGTATTACTTAAATTTGGAGAAAGTTGTAAGAAAGGATAAGGAGGGAAGAGGGTGCTGTGTACTACTATGTTCTTTATTTTCTGTCAGGGACAAGTCTTAGAGAAAAAGCTTGGCATATGCCAGTAACTCTATTCTTCCTGCCAATTGCCTAAGCAAATTATGTTACTTTTTTCCAAGGTTTCTCATCTGCAGACTTTTGTGTTTAAAGTTAGCTGTTTGGTGACACTGTATTTGGAGGTGAGGGTATGAATGTGAGAAGGTGTTTTGGAGCATTTGCAATTATAGCATTGGGTGGTGGATAAAGAAATAGATACATAAATATTAGACCGATGCACAGTTTTCCAGTGTATGTTATTTTCCATATAAAGATATAGAACATTTCATAAAATGTTCCCAGACCATTTAAAACTCAGAAATGCAGCTGATGCAATGAAATACATAGAGTACTTGTAAAAACATACAGACACGCAAGTGGATTGCTGCCAGACAGAAAATTTAAAGGCGGTTTGCTTAACTGCGGGGTGCTAGGTTTTGTACATGTGCCATGCTGAAACTGTTAGTAAGGCGGGTGTTATGTTGCTTGAGAAAAGCAGATTGTATTTGGACCTTTTTAACTCAGATGTTTCCAATGTCGATATTTTGGTGACATTATGGCATAATGATCAACTCACTGTGAAAAAGGATTTCAACCTCCTGTATCAAATAGACATTTTAAAGAAATTCAAACAAATTATTTTTAGTTTTTGTGTTAATTTTTATAAAATGGCTTTCATAGTTTTATTAACTATGAGACTGATTCTCTGAGCTAATTGAAAGGAACTTTATAGGTTGGACTTTGGTTTTAAAAAAATTTCCTTTTTTTTTTTTTTTTAAAATATTGTTTTAGAAGAGTGTTAAGGACCTATGAAATTTGCTTTTGTAACTTTAGGTCCTTAAAGAAAGGAAGTAAAAGTTTTATGCTTAAATCATAGTAAATAAATTCATGTATTATCTTGGAACATGATTCTGTTAAAATCTGGGAATTTCATTCTAGGGTTAATCTTAGGACATTTGAAAGACTTAAGCTGGTGGTGTTTATTGCATTGTCCACCATTGAGGCAATGTTTAGGGTAATATGGTTTGAGTGACTCTCATCTTAAAATAGGTCGATTTTTCTTTTTATTCGTGTTTCCTCCTCTTCTTTAATTCTGCTATGTTGTATATATGAATTAAATACATTTTAAAGTGACAGGTTAATCATTAATGTAGTTGCTTAAAGAGATTTTATTTTAACCCTTTAATCTATAGCAAGAAATATATATTTTTAAATTAAAGAATATACCACATTTTGGTTTCTGATGTCCATCCCCTCACCAAGTGATTAAAAAAAAAAAAAGTTTTTTATTTTATCCCATCTTTATTTCCACCGGTATTTGTGGTTCTCAAGCACAACTACTACAAGGAAGGGGACATGATATTAAAGATTTATATATGAATTATTTTTGTCTGAAGTTTTCTGGTTGGAGAGTAAATGTTAACCACGTGACAATTGGAAGAAAATTAATACGCTTTAGATTAGTTTGTGGCTTTCCCAATCTCTGTTTTACTGTGTACCTCAGTGATTTAGAAGTACTTTTTTTTCTTTCTTTGTTTTTAAATCTATTTTTGGTCTTGGGAACAAATTTTAAATCCTAAAATACCACTTGTTCCACCCCACCCCCATCAAGTCATTTTTGTGTTTTAGGAATTATGGCCACTGCCCTCTTTTGAGCCTCCCCTCTACTTTCACCCCTACCTACCCCAAACACCCTTTTTAGGGGTCTGTTGGGCATTTGGCTGTCCCTTCATTACCTTGCTGGCTAATTCCTCCTTGTAGACCTACCTATTGCCATTACCGCCCTCTGACCTCCTGTGTTAAGAGGATAAGTCCTTGTGTGATTGTAGCCCTTCAGGCCAGAGAGAAGCAGACAGTGTATTCTTTGGCCTACCAGGGCAGCCCTGCACAGTACTGCAGCAGGAATTACACAAGAATCCTGTTAGTCATACTGTAGAAGTGCCAGTTCCCCTTCTAGTATTTGAAGAAGAAGGTAAAAAAAAGTTGATCCCTAGTTTTTAAGTCAACCAGAAGATACTTCAAGAGCTGAAATGGTCTACAAATCCTTCAAGTATTTTGCACCACCCATTTTGGGACACTCTGCTCTTGATGTGATCTTTTGAATATTCTTGCTTTTGTTATTAGTTTTAGGTTTTGAAAAGTAATGTCCATTGACTTTAATGACAAAATAGGTATTTCTAGGATTTAAATATAGTCTGTGAATAGACCCTTAGTTTTCTCTCTTTTTGATTCTTCCCTGCAGAACAATTAACTGCATTTTGGTTGCGATTTGAAGGGTTTTAACTTTTACATGGATTCATTTTTACAGAGAAGTAAATTGGTGCTTTAAAATGTAGATATGAAAAGTGAGTAGTATGTATTGTGAACACGATGAGAAAGGATCCTCAACTATTGTGCTTTTTCATAAGCCTTTTGCATTGATACATAGTTACTCAAATAGATATTATTCTGATACTCCCTTAATGTGTCTCTGAGGAACCAAATCTTTCTTTTATTGGAAAAGATTGAATGGTTTCCTAATCAATAGCAAATGGAGTGCTAATAGCTTTTAATTAGTACACTTCTATATTGACTTAAAGACAGTGGCGTTGGATTATCTTGCAATTATGATTGAAGAATCAAGTGACCCTTTTAGTAACTCCATTTAAGCTGAATGTCATAAAAGGTGTTTTAACTTATGTATTTTCTAGTTTCTGAGCAAATTTAAATTTGTTTACACTGGTAAGCTAAAAGTATATTGTTTTGTTTTGTTTGTTTTGAAGACTTTACCTAGTTTTATCTGTATTTTCAAGAGCTTTACTGTAAGAATTTTTGGAGGTATGTATTTTATTTTTAAAAGCAAGGAGTTTTGCATTTGTTCCTTGAAAGAATTCTCTCACCCTCACTGCCCTAACTTCCCCCTCCCCTACCTCAATCTGAAACGGGTGTTAAAATAAAGGTGGTTTATCAAGCCTACATCTGTAGCTATGAAAAGGAGGCTTCTGATTAGAGAAGAAAAGTCAAGCAGTTTAAGACTCATTTTCTCTGGAAAAAATATATTGAGGGCAATTTGCAGCTGGTGAGGTTTTTGCATTAGGTAATAGTTTCAAGTTAACAGTAGCATCAGGTCTTTAAAATTTTTCTTTTTTATATTTCTGGAGGAGGGTAATGGGAGTGCCTTGCCGAGCCCTTCCTTGTGCTCATCAACATAGCAGCCTCAGCTGCCCCCCTTGGATCCCCTGCCAGGGCTGCTATCATCTTCTGATCAAATATTAATGTGTGATCCTCTGCTTGCTCACTAATCCAAAGCCAATTAATATTATCTGTCAATTATTTACAGATCCTGAGGTGCAGAGGCAATTCCCAGAGGACTACAGTGACCAGGTTCGGAATGCGTAATTAATTTTTTACATGACAAAATTTATTTCAGAGTTGTTCAACATATTATTACTGTTCTTTTTACTGAAAGAGATAAATGAATTTTTAGAAGGGAAGAGAAACAGTAATTAGGAACCTAAGACAAAAAATAAAACATTCAAGTAGGATTGAAAATATTGGTGCTAGTTTGGGGTGTTACCTTCAGGGGAAAAATGCACAGAAAGTAAGGGAGGAAAATCTATCATGAATTTTACTTTTTACTTTAAGCTCTGCTACAGTCTGCAGTTCATTAGGTAATCATTTGGATTAAAAAAAAATGTTATTTAAGTGTCAAGAACCAGTGTAAAAAAAAGGGGGGGGGAAAGGAATTTTATAACATATTCTGGGATGGAACTATTTGTTGTGGTACTACTCAAAGGAGAAGATTACACATGCAGGAAAGGTCTTGAGGGGAGGATAATTGTAACGAAGGTAGGGAAAGTTAAGATTAGCCAGTTGGTCCTGCCATTTTGAATTTCTTGCGTTCTGCAAGCATGGAATGCACTGGAAGGAACTATTTAAATCACAAAATACTGTTGAAGTTCTGATGCTGCTCTAATCTTGATAATTAGATCCAGGTTATGCGTTCCAGCTTCACTCTTAAGAAACATTAGAGAAAAAGAAAACAAACAAAAAAAGAAACATTAGAGATATTTTGTAGGTTTTGGGGGCACATTACATTTTTAGTTCAAATTTGCAATTTGGTATGCTTTTTAAAGTAGTTTTCTTTCTTTCTTTTTTTTTTTTTTTTAAAGCATCTTTGTACTGAATAAAAAAAAAGTGTAAAATCTTTCACACGTTGAATATTGTATGCATTATAACATGTATCTGAAGTATAACTACTTAATTTTGTTCGTTAAAAAAGTCCTTGAATGAGAATAAGTACATTGGAATAGAAATACTCAGTATAGTAGTAGTAACACCTTTGCAGTGTGGCCATACAACAGAAGGCAAAGTATCTGATACATCTTTGGAATACAGGGGACATATTGTGACCAGGAATATAGCTGGATAATCAGTATAATGAGATGCTTTGTAATGGGATTTTATTGTACAAGAACTGAAGAGGACTGGTGTGGTTTGCTTTGTGTGTTATCCCAAGGCTTTGAAATGGGGGAAAAAAATACTAACCTTCTTACTCCTCTGGCTCCATCTTCCAACTGGACAGTTAAATTTTTATCTTGCTTTAAACTGCAGTGCAATTGAACCCATTGGATTTAACCTACACAATCCAAAGATTACAGAACCTTTTTTATTAACGATTTTCCTTCATTAAACAATACCCAAAAAGTGGAAAATTTTCAAGTATTATTTTGAATTGACTTAAGGCCATAGTTCTTAAAAAGTCATTATTTTAAAATCTTGTGTCTAGGTAAATAAATATCCTTTGTGATTCCAGGATCTGAATTACTTCAGTGAGAGAAAATTTCGTAGGTGAAACTTAAGATAATATGGTTAATATCTGGATCAATTCTTGAAACATAGTTTCTTACTGTATCTGAAAGTTTTTGATCATCATGGTATTTTTTGCTATAACTTTTTAAAAAAGTCACAAGGATAATATGTTCAATATAAAATATATTTAGAAAAAATTGATAAATAAAAAGAATGAAAAGGAAGAAAATATAAGCATCTGTAATTTTATTATTGAGAGATAACCACTATGGTAGTTTGATGTTTGTTTTGCCATGTTTATTTCTCTGAGTATATATACACTAGAGGCCCAATGCATGAAATTCGTGCAAGGGCCTTGGCCTTGGCCCCGGCCCCAGACCCCGCCCCCACCTGCTGTGGTTGCAGCCAGGGTGCCTCTGCTGTCTCTGCTGTGGCCCCCACCTGCTGTGGCTTTGTCTGAAAGGAAGGATGTCTGGTCTAATTAGTATATTATGCTTTTATTATTATAGATGTTTGTATTTGGTAAGAGTTAATGTGTATATATATACATCCGTATGCACATATAGTATATTTGTGTGTATAGACTTTTATTAATTCTGTTATTGCATATGGAGCCCAGTTTATAGATTAGATATTATATGTTATGAACTTAGTTCTCTTTATTTTGTTTAATAGATGATCTTAAAATTGTTTAATATATTGAAGTTGGAATTATTTAAAATTATAGTAAGAATCTAAAAAGTAATAATAGCCTTCGGCTATTTTAAAGTGTTCATAGGAATCAGTGTTTATTTTCTTTTTTTAGAACAGTGACATAGTTTGGAAATTTGGAGGATGGTAGTCAGGGGCTAGATGTAGGGTTAAGAGAGTGTGCATATCACTGCCTTCCTTAGCATCTCTAACTTGACTCAACACATGGTTTTCCTTCTTTTCCACATGTAACTCAAGAATGAAAGATCTTTATTTTTGATGAAATTACCCCCAAATTTCCAGATATTTATTTGAGAGTTGATTTACTGATAAAGGAAATGATACCTACATATTTCTTATTTACCTTTTTTATTATTTGGGTTCTGATCTTATATATTTTCTCTTCTTAGTATTTGTTGAATTAAACAAAATTATCTTTCCCCTCTAAAGGAATTCTTAGAAATATTTTTATTACATGCAAACCTTAAATGCTGAATATGTACTTAATTTAGACAACATTTCTAGTATTAAAACATTTATGATGTAACCCATAGGAATATTTTATATAATTCACCACAAAGTAAAGCATTTATTAACTCTCCCTCTCTCTTCCTCTCTCTCTCTTCCTCCTCCCCCAGTTTTTCTCCTCATTCGCCTCAACTACCACTGCTTGTTTTCACATTTGTGTATTTCCCATGTACCAGCACACTTGATCAGAGACGCTTGCTGCTGCTAGATGTTTTATTCTGTGTGTTCTTTGTACCTTACAGTAAAAGAATCTGTCACAAATTATTGTGGCTCACTGCTTTAGAAACTGAGAAAAAAGGGAGGTTAGATTGACATCTGTGACTGAATAATGATGACCAGCCTTTTGGCTCTCCTTGAGCCACAAAGCTAGCACTGCCTTTAGAGTGGAAAAAGAAGTAAGAAGAAAGGGGAGGGATAAAAGAGAGTTACAAATCTGTGGTCCCGGAGATGTATTACTGTTGGGCCAGTTGTCTGCGTGGTATGATAATCCATTTTGATCTTCTCTGTCTTAATTGTCTGCTAAAGACAAATGGGCAGTAAAAGTTCATCAGTTTCATCTTTTTGCTTCTCGTTTAGAAGCAGAATAAATGATCCATCACTAAGAAGTAGACGTTCTTTCTGACACGGAAGTAATGCAGACCCAACACGTTTTATTAAAATGTTTTCCCCTCATTATTTCAGTCTTCTCAGCTCTGAGAGATCTTACTGTTTCATAAAAAATGTAATCTGAAATGTAAATAAGGGTATTGATACAGAAGGAAGAAGTAATGAGCAGCCTGAGCCACATTTTAAGACTCTTTATTGTAATTACTGACAAAGTGATTTCTCTGTGCCCCATTTCTTTTTCTTCCTTAAGTTGTCTGTGACACCCTCAGACCACAATGACATCTATGGTTTAAAGCCATTAAATCACTGTAGCACTCAATATTTCATTTAAAATCTGGTAAGCCTGCTATCTTTAAGCCTGAAAGTATAGCCTTTGTTAATTCCAGAAACACATACAATGCTTACATTTTTTTAAAAAAGGAAAACAAACAACAAAAAAGACAGAAGCAAGGCCTTTTTCAGAGTTCACATTACTTATTTATCTGCTTTTGTTTAATGCTTAACTACTTTAAATACTAAAACATCAATATTGGTAGGATCCTGACTTGAAAAGGATCCTGCATTTTAAAAAAATCTTTTAACAACTTATAAAATTTTGAAAATTGTATCTTTCATAAGCATAATAAGAAGTAGTCTAAATTTTATTTTAAGGTTAAGATTACTAAACAGATGCAAATTGTCAAGTGACTTTGGTTTTAGATAGCTTAAATCAGATTTTTTGCAATCTCTTATTATAACTTTAGATAATCTTAACATAGCCTAACCAATAGAAAATTTTTGTTAAAGAAGAACACAATCTCAATAATAATAATAATAATAATAATAATAATATCTTTCATTTCTAGAAATGGTTTCTTAAAGATATCAGCCTGTCAATCTAGCATTAAAAATAAGGAAACATAACATGAATTATCTTTTCCTGCTGGAAATAACCTTTTAATTAAGTGGATTTATAATTATTCTATTATGTTTATTGTATTCATTCAATTATGGAAATAATTGGTAAACCTTTACTCATTGTGATTAGTGCAGTTTTAATTGAATTAAGGAAGAAAAGGGTAGTTAAATTAACATGTTAGCACATTATGGTCACCATTCTCATCAAAATCCTATCTTTGGCTTGAAAACATTATTTGATTTTTCAGAATAAAACAATGAGCCTTTAGTAATTATACCTTGTAGTATGGGCTAATTTGGAATAAAGACATAGTAACCTATCAGAGAGAAGATTTCCATAAGTAGCCTTGTAATGTGTCAAGTATAATAGGCATTACACATACCGTTTTAAATTGTGTTAGTTATAATACGATTAGTTTTTGTACTAATGCATGTAGAATTGAAAATTTCTTCTCACAGTTGCACTTTTTATAGCCTGCTTGTTCAAAGAGTGGCGATTAGAGATGAGTGTGCTAGAACTTGCTTTTCCAGTATGCTCATCTGCATTTTGATGAAATATAGCAAGTATCTTAGAGCTCTTTAAATAGAGGTCTCAGTACACTTACTGCCCCTGTATATGTAGATTGCTGTTTAGAGTTGCAGGTAATTTTTCTTTCCACTGGCACTGAAACAGAGGTTATAATGAAACTAACAATCTTTATGCATTTATAGAAACTATAAAAATTTTATGGAAATCTTTATATAGAAACGAGCAGTGTTTCTTGTACAGCTCTATAAGCAATGTAGAAACATGGTACTTTGGGAAAAATAAAAAAGGTACCCTGTCTTTTATGGTTTTATATGGTCTATGT